CCACTCTGGGAGAGAAGCCCCAGTGGTGGTGAGGAGCGTGGGCGTAGTTGGAGTGAGGCGGCCCTGGGGGGACCGCTTTCCGACTGCATGTCCTTTGGGAAGAGCTTCAGCTTCTACACTTGTAAAAAAGGCTAGTAATATTTCCTACCTCCAAGGGCGACACATATAAAATATCTGACATAAGAAGCACAAAATACGTATCAATTCTCAGTAGTACTGATGTTATAACTACTGTTGTCATTGTAATTAATCTTACTGCTCATTAGTAAACAGCCTTATGCATCTGTGTAGGTCCAACAGATGCTTCCCATTCTGCAGAAAATATCTGTGTTTTTCCCCAACCAAACCATGTAAAAACTCAATATTATACAAATTCTAGTTTGACATTAAATTTTTGAACAAATCTCAGAAATAAAAATGGTCTTTCGACATTGTGAGAGTGTCTGTAAATTTTTACAATTTTAAGGGGGTGGAGGGAATCATTCGTTAGGGTCTTTTGAGTTTGAAAGAAACCTAACCAGCAGTTGATGAGCTTGGCCAGGAACAGCCGCAGGCAGCACTGCCAGTGAGCAGTTGGCCCCTGGGCCCCTTGGTTCTCATTGCAGCCTCATTAGTTCACAGTCATCCATCCGTTCACCCGCCCATCCAAATGTGATCTTCAAAAAGCTCAAATCATGACTCTCACACAAATAGAGCATGAACATGCCAAAGATTTATGAACTTGTTACCGGAGGAATTGATGAGATAATAAGGTTGATTCCAACAGCATTCGAAGAAACAGGTGATTTATAGGGCTTTGTGCTTTTTTTTTTAAGAATGTCAGCATAAGATTGCTAGAGAGTCACAAAACTGGATAATGTTTTACAGGACAACAAAGTCTGTAACCTCAAGTTATTTTTCCTGCTAGACAGAAATCTGCATGTTACCATGGAACTTCACAACGTCTAGACCCTAGGCATATAGTGAATAGCAGAATCGGGCACAGACACATTCTCCCAGAGAATTACTTCTTGGAGCACCCCATCTAACAATGTCCTGGCGTGGCTTAAAAAAGATCTGTTCTCCTTATTTTCAAGCATTATATCATTTTTATTAACACATCTATCCATTTCTTTGTTCAATAAACCTTTATTAATATCTGTATGCTCCAGGAATTTACGGATAAAGACATAATCTCTGTCCTCAAGGAATTTGTGACATAATGGGGAAGACAAACATTCAAATGAAATTTGCAGCTAAGATGCTAGTCATGTCACTACAGAGGCCCACCCACTCCCTAGTGCTGTGCCATGTCAACCTACTCACCATTTTCCCCGGTTTTATATTAGAAAACACCTCTTAGAGCCCGACAGATGAATTGTTCCTCTCTTGGATACTATATAGAGACACATTTTTACCCAGTGGAGTGTGCCATGTGGTAGTATCAGAACTGGCCGGGAAGAGATAGGTTGAGCAGAAAGGGGGTAAAGAAGTCTTTCCTGTTGCTCCTAAAATTACTGCATATGAATGAGTTGGAAATAATTACTAATTAAGCAGTCCTTGTATTTCCCAAACACTCCCTTGAAGATGTATTTATTTCCAAATTAATGGAGCGGGGAAACCTTTCTGAAATTTGACTTTTGGACACTAGAATTTAGATATTACATGGCAGATGATTTTTTCCAGGAGAGCGGGGTCAAGGATCTGTCTGAGGACACCTGATCTACCTCCCCTCGCCCTTAAATAAGAGTTCTGTTTTGTGTGGCAGTTGACCTGGGTGACTTTAATTTCACTGGCTCTGCTCGTGTGTTTCCCTGTCTCCATGGTCACTGATGTGTCAGCCGAGGGAGGATACACAGTGATGCTCTGTGTGCTTGTAACTCCATGCAGAGCCACCTAGAGTAGGACTCCTGTACTTCAGTTCTCCATCCTTGGGGATTCGACTGAGTAAAATATTTACTAAGCAATTATTAATGTAAAGAACTTCAAGGGAGGCTATGGAGCATGGGAAGAGATAACCCCCTCCTTCCAGGAGCCATGGTGTGGTGGGGAAAACGGAGACATGGGAGTACTTCTCAAGCAGTGATGCTTAATCCTGGGTGCACAGTGGGGTCACCTGAGGGACTTTGAAAGGTCCGGTGCCCAGGCGGCACTTCAGACCAATTCCGTCGGAGTCCTGGGGCAGGACCCAGGCGTCAATATTTTTGTAAAGCTCTCTGGGAAAGTCCAGTGTGTTGCCGAGCTAGAGAACCGTGGGTCTAAAGCAAAAGAAGTGAAAACGCTGCGGTGAAGGACCGGCAGAGCACTGCGTGAACAAGGATACCACAGCCATTCTGGATATGCTAATACTGCTATCTGCTGTCGGACCACACGGCAGCCCACGGATGAGGGAAATGTAGCCTCTCACCGTAGCCATGGAAGAACTTTAGGTCAGTTGGATTGTAGCGCATGTGTTAACTGTCTACTGGGGAGGTACGGTCCGCAGGAAACTGTTTCCAAAGGGGGAAAAGGGCCCAGAAAAGATCAACGCATTAAGAGGACCTCCAAATTCACTCCACGTGAGCATGCGGTCTCTCTCTCTCTCTTTCTCTTTCTCTCTTTCCCTTGGAGTTTTCTTTCCTTATTTCTTACTCGTCTTTCTTCCTGAAAAAGGCCCATTCCTTCTCAGAGACTCCACTTCAAAACCTCACCTCCTTCATGAAACCTGTTCTTTTCTTCTTCCTCTCCCAAGCAAAACTGGGGTCCTATTTTTCTCTGGCTCTTAGGTCCTCATCTGGTTCTAGCAGTTAATTATAATTATTATAGGATTTAGTTATAATATGGCGGACAGTTTATTTACACATCTACCCGTTCGTGGGCCTTATCTTTGTCTCTTTAGTACCCAGCACAGTTTCTTGGTTTATTGACTGAGTAAAGAGAGGTGTAGCAACTTTAGGTCGAGTCGGAAAGTCATGCCATCGTCAGGGGAGACCTAGACTCAGGTACACCCCAGGCTGCCTTGTTCCATTTCTGAGCGTCAGGCTCCTTTGCTTCCAGATGGTGGGGCTGGAGAAATCGGCAGACAGGCTCACTGGTGTGAAGCCGCTGGAGGGAATATGGAAGAAGGCTCACGGAATTGGAACTGTAGGGTGAGCAAGTTCCTTCTCTCACAGCAGAGCTTGGCCTTAAGAGAACAAAAGGCAGTTCACAGGGTTTCAAGTGAGTGAATTACTGACTGTGGAAAAGTGCCCCTGCCACTGACTCCGGTTTCGTTTGGGCTGCAGGATCCCCGGGGCAGTTCGGAACGGTTCTTTCTGTCTGAAAAAAATTGCTCGTCTGTTTTATTTCTAAACTTTAAATATTTTTTAAAAATCGTGTTGCTTCTCTTTTTGGCATCTTATATGTTTTACCTAGGAAGGTGGAAAACTATTTCCATTTTACAAGAATAAGGGTCATGCATTCTAGATTTTCTAGGACAGTGCTAATATTAGAGTTTATGTCCTGTTTTTAAACTGCGTGTCCTGATTTTTGAATACGGAAAGTATGGTTGCTATTCTTACAGCTGGCTGTCAACTGGCCAGCCATGCTGAGAGGTCTTTTCGTAGCAAAATGTCTGATTACCTTACATTGCCCCTTTGAGAAATGAAGTAGGGCTGCCTCTTGGACCAAAAAAAAAGTATCACAGAGCTGGCATTTGGTACACATCGCTCCGAGCTCCAGACTTCTGCTGAATGTGGTTTCTTGGTGAAGACACTATATAGTAACCCTCCTCTCCCTACCCCAGATTAGTGCAAAAACCTTTCAAGGAAAAACAGGTCGTTAAGGACTGTTTTTTAATCCTACTTTTAAAACTCAGAAATGTTTCTTTGTGAGGCGGTCACAGGAGCCCAACGTGAGGGGCACTGGGCCCTTGGAGATCCCGTTGCTGGAACTGCACGTCCCCGCCCTCAGCCTCGTGCCGCGGGCCAGATGGAATTGCTCCGGTTGTTATGGATTCAATGGCTCTTTTGCTTAATAGATTCAGACCAACTTAAACAGTAATAATCCCACTGCGATCCAAGTCACCTCAATTTTAATCGAATGGTCCACAATTAAGTAATCTTTTCACCTGTTAAAAAGTGTAATTTTTCCCTCACTAAACAGTACAAAAAGGTAAATGATAAACTTTATAATATTCTTTTATATCTAAGGATCATAAGCTCTTAAAAAAGTGGCTGAGTAACTGTTATATTAGGTCACTTTTAATAATCTGAATGCATAAGGTTTCTAGTAACCTGGTTACATTCTTTAGAAGACATTTTGTATGTTCTTCAGTCAGTACGTCATTTTATGAAACAATGACTAGAGAATAGCATTAACAAATGTCATTGATTGGCAACAAGGTTTAGTACATGAGTCGCATGATCTTTTGCAAAAAGCAAGCTATTAGGAGCTACTTCTGGTTCACACAGAGGTGTTATTTACAGTTGCTCTGTGTGCTTCCATAATGCTTCTGTAATGGAAATTCTGCAATAAGAAAACGGAGGGTCCTTTCTAGGAGCCTGCCAGTCTGTATTCACAGGTTTCTGTCAGCTATTTCCATAGCTGACATCTGAGTGTTTGCCTCAGCCCGAGTTTTCCTCTCTTGTGGCTTCATCACTTTAGTGTTAAAACATTCAGGAACTTCTCACTCACCCAGAATTTCAACAGCTATTCAGTTGGGGGTAACACTCTTCTTGTGAGCTCTCTAACTCTCTGCTGTCCCCAGTGAGTGGAGGGAAAAGGACACATTTAGGAGTGGGGCTTGGTATGAGTTCTACCACATTTGACCAAGGGTCAAGAGGGTGAGGCCACAGGGAGCTATGCTGGGATCTGCTAAACAACTCCTGCAATGAGACAGAAATAGAGCCAGAGTTTTTTCTGGATAATAGTCATGTTTTCCTGCCGGGACACGAGGCCTACTCATTGACAAATGACAACCAATCTGAGTGTCAAATAAGATGGGAAATCGATCTCTATGACACCCTTTTAACAGGAGGCTTCATTCTTCTTTTCTTATCCAGGACTAAGAGGGAAAAAATGAATATGGTGTTTGCTCACAGAATGGATAACAGCAAGCCACCTTTGGTTACTCCGACACTTCTGGTGGTGCCCTTCCAAAACCACAGCCGCCCTGAAACAGCCGCACCTCCACCAAGCCATGACCTGCCGGAATTATATGAGGAGCAGGGCTGGATGAGCAACAAGACAGACCTGCAGTATGGACTGAGACCTGGGGAAGTGGCCACAGCCAGCATTTTCTTTGGGGCCCTGTGGTTGTTGTCTGTCTTTGGCAATTCCCTGGTTTGCTTGGTCATCCACAGGAGTAGGAGGACTCAGTCCACCACCAACTACTTTGTGGTCTCCCTGGCGTGTGCTGATCTTCTCATCAGCGTGGCCAGCTCACCTTTTGTCCTGCTGCAGTTCGCCACCGGCAGGTGGACACTGGGTAGCGCCATGTGCAAGGTCGTGCGGTACTTTCAGTATCTCACCCCTGGCGTGCAGATCTATGTTCTCCTCTCCATCTGCATCGACCGGTTCTATACCATCGTCTATCCTCTGAGCTTCAAGGTGTCCAGAGAAAAAGCCAAGAAAATGATTGCAGCGTCGTGGATCTTCGATGCAGCCTTCATGGCTCCTGTGTTCTTTTTCTACGGGTCCAGCTGGGACAACCATTGTAACTATTTTCTCCCTTCCTCTTGGGAAGGGACAGCCTATACTGTCATCCATTTCTTGGTGGGCTTTGTGATTCCATCTGTCCTCATAATCTTATTTTACCAGAAGGTCATAAAGTATATTTGGAGAATAGGCACTGATGGCCGAACTGTGAGGAGGACAATGAATATTGTCCCAAGGACAAAAGTGAAAACTATCAAGATGTTCCTCATTTTAAACCTATTGTTTTTGCTCTCCTGGCTGCCTTTTCATGTAGCTCAGCTGTGGCACCCCCATGAACAGGACTACAAGAAAAGTTCCCTTGTGTTCACAGCGATCACATGGATATCCTTTAGTTCTTCAGCCTCTAAACCTACTCTGTATTCGATTTATAATGCCAGTTTTAGGAGAGGAATGAAGGAGACTTTTTGCATGTCCTCAATGAAATGTTACCGGAGCAATGCCTATACTATAACAACCAGTTCACGGATGGCCAAAAAAAACTATGTTGGCATTTCAGAAATCCCTCCCACGGCCAAAACTATCACCAAAGACTCAATCTATGATTCATTTGACAGAGAAGCCAAGGAAAAAAAGGTGGCTTGGCCCATTAACTCAAACCCACCAAACACTTTTGTTTAATATCTCAGAATTCTTTCAGTTATTGTTATGCACTAGAAATTAAAAGTCTTTAACTATAAAAACAGAAGCTACTTATGTATTTTTTAATCAACTTTCTGAGGGAAATGTTTGCTTTTGTAAAATGCATTCATTTATCAATTATAGTTTTTATGGTTTTAACTTCAGTTACTTTTCATTTTAGAGGAAGCATTCGTATTGAGCTCCTTTTACTGTATTAGTTACAGACACAGAAAAGAGAATTCCTACTTTTTATTTACCATTAGGTTCAAAAAGCATAAACCATACACAGTCTGAGTGACGAGCCGAGCGAGTTGTGTTGTCTCCGTTTTCTCCTCCCTCCTGAAACGCTGTGACAGTGGGCTTCTGTTTTAAATGGAGTCCCCTCTGTCACACATTTCAGAGCCTTGTATTTCTTATACTAAGGAACAGGAGGAAGTGTTAGTATTGTACATATTTTTATATTACCTTCTTCTAAGTAATCGCTGTCCAGAGAGCATTCCATAGACAGGACTGAAAATACACTGGAATTGCTGGACAGCGTATTCTGTGGTTGAATTTTAATCAGGGCTTGTAGGGAAAGAAAACGCGCAATGTTGGAGAGAATGAGGAGATTACCCCAGGCTCCTTACAGGGTTCCCGGTGGTGTGCACCATGAGTCTGGATTCATGTGTCTCCCACAGGGGCGCTCAAGAAAGGTGATGGTTTGGGGGTGCACTTCGGAGTAGAGGCAGTTCTCCTATCTGGCTCCAGGTTCCCATAGACTCAGAGGAAGGGACAGGGATGCATCCTTTGAGGTGGAATTTGAATTTCTCCTTTGCTTCTAACCTTCAGTGAACGCATTATGATAATCAGCCTGCCCATCCTGCTCAGATGTACTTCCCTGCGGGCCTTCCATCAGAGGTTTACACTGGATGCCTGGAGCCGACTCCCTGGGTCACAGCTCTGGCTCGAGAAGAACAATATTACCTATCGAGCATTCGGGGGGCGCGGAGCGAGGAGTCACTTGCCAGATAAAATGAGCAGTTTGTCTCCTGGTGGGCACAATCCTTCCCTTTACCTCTCCAGCATTGTTGCTACCCACTCAAATTCACTATGTCAAAGAAACATAATCAAGATCTGTTGGAGTTACTGGACTACAATCAGTTTTGAGGCTCCACCCCTCTGTAAGAACCGCATGTAAAGGAAGCAAAGAATTAGAAATTTTTAGAGTAGAAGGGATGTTGGGAGACCCTAGCACAATCTCCTTACTGTTTAGAAGAGGAAATTAAGACCAAGAAAGGTCAAATTAAGGGTAAACTAAAATGCCTTCTACTGCCATTCCAACATCGTTTCACCCATCTCCTTGCCACGGCATGATTCATTTATTGAAGAGAAAACCCTCACTGTGTGTGGAAGAAAACAAAGAGCATACACAATTCCCCACTGTTTGGTTAACTCGCTAATTCACCTGGAACAGAGACGACTTCACGGTGCTGTAATTAGTGGAAATGCAAACCAACTGTCAAATCGTTCTGCAGAATGACCACTTGATGGCACTGTGGCTAGTAGGCAGAGCCTACCTCCTCTTCACGATGCTCGTCACGTTGGCGATTTCAGAGAAATCCTGTCTCATAGCAACAAGACAGTGGAAATTGCTGAGCACCCAGAAGCAGCTGTAGATTAACTAATCAATCAGTGTATTCAAACACACAAAGCATCTAAACATTGGAGGAAATTCCAAAATAATTAATACCTTTTACAGACGTGAAATTGCTAGTCAAAATATTATTTTAAACCCATTTTACAAAGGATATCATTTTCCAAAAAACCCTCAGACCACCAAGCTGGCGGTAGCTTTGCCCACACTTAGAAGGATCTCTCTCTTTTCTGCTCCTGTTATCATTCGACTGAGAATTCATGAATCTTTTCATAGCACAGTAATGGAGGCTTTCCCCTAAAAGTAAATGTTCCTATGCTCCTGGCAAGTAGGCATTTAAATTTATTTTATGTCCATTTCATTTCCTCAGACTCTTTAATTTTTTGAGCCCCTACTTGGGGCCATTCTGAACTTTTTGCTCAACTGAGCACTTCTGTTCAAACGCTCTGTGTCTTTCTCAAAAAAAAATCTCTTTAAAAGTATGTATTGCTTTAAAAACTCTCTTATCAGCCCTATACAATTAGGGTTCACCTATAATTTGTGGAATGTGTGATTTTAGTTCTGGGGAAAACAACGCTGAACAAATCTAGCTTAGTTCTGCTGGGCTCTGCAGTGAGCCCAGCAGAACTAAAACGTGTGTATCTGGTTTTAAGGTGATGAGGCCGGTCTGGAAGCCTGAAAACACAGTCTGGTTTTCAGCACGTAGACAGCCCATAAAGCAGTTTCAGCTGTTTGCTCACCAAAGCTAGGGCTGGGACATTAAACCTCCTTGCAGGGATTTCAAATGGGTCTTCTCTATTCTGTACTCTACTGTATCATCCAAAAGAACAATCTATTTAGGAAGACTGTGTTCTGCCTTGGCTGGGTGGCCCCACTGGTTGGAGCGTCGTCCCCATACACCAAAATGTTGTGGGTTCGACCCCTGGTCAGGGAGTGTGTGGAAGGCAGCCGATCCATATTTCTCTCTCGTGTTGATTTTCCCCCCTTTTTCTCCTTTCCTCTCTCCAAAAGCAATAAAAAATATCTTCAGGTGAGGATTAAAACAAATTTTAAAAGATTATTTTCTGTTAGATATGACCACGGCACAGATTTCTTGACGGCGTAAAAGGAGATGTGAGGGTCGTGTGGCCGAGGGGGTGGGCAGCACAGTGGTCGAAGAGGACAGATTGTACTCTGCTCCTCAGGCCAGATTCATTCAACTTCTGGGCTGTCTGATGGATGCTTTAAAAATTAGCACAAAATTCCAGCGACATACGCGGCCAGTAAAGTTTTTCTTTGTCCCAAATAGCATGATGGTCACTTTTAAGGGCTCTGGAACCAACTCAGGTGTTGAAGTTTAGGGTCTGCCTACCAACTGCTTAACCCAGCAAAGGGCTCTCAGACCCCAGCTTCTTCATTTCTAAAATAGGGAAAGTAACAGTGTCCACCTGTACTAGGGTTCGCCAGCCAAACAGTTGATAGACAGATGATAGTATTTTAAGAAATTGGCTCTTGCTATTGAGGAAGTTGGTTAGCTTGAAATCTGTAGGGCATGCCAGCAGGAGTGAGTTTGCCTTCTTTGAGAAACCCCATTTTTGCTCCTAATGCCTTTGATGAATTGGATAAGGGCCACTCATATTATCAAAAATAATCTTTTTATTAAAGTCAGCTGATTGTAGATGCTAACCATATATATAAAATAGCTTGATAGCAACACCTGTATTAGTGTTTGATTAAATGACTAGGTACTGTAGCCTAGCTGACTGTAAGACCAACCATCACACTACTTCACAGGACTGCTGTAGTAATAAAATGAGCCCAAACCCATATAAGTCATTGAGTGCATTAGCAAATACCTGCGAAGCCCTCAATAACAGGTATCTATTGTTATTGGTCATTGCTGACCCAATGAACTTTTCTATCTTCCAAATTACTCAGCACCTACTGCCATGTGCTAACTATAGTAGAAACAGGTTTTGACGACCACTCTCAAATGTGTCGTTGTTTTCCTTCTTTAGCTCACACTCTCGCTCCTTTTTTTTTTTTTTTAGTTCTGCTAAGAATTGGCAGACGCAAGGTAGAAGGAACAATTAGCAGCAGGAACTTGAATGGAAGGGATGGAGGTGGTAGAGCAACTTCTACTCACCATTCACCTCAAAGGGAATTTTGCCCCTTGAAATATTTATTAAAAAGGAATGGTCTAAAATCCGGATACACAAAATACTTGAGAATTTAGACTTTTATCATCACTTTTCTGTTGGAATCCCCACTTATGCAATAGAAAGAACTGATGGGGAAAACCAGTGTTGACTGTTAATTTAACTATTCATTTTGGTAGACTATAAAAACCAGTGATGTGGGACTTAAGTTGTTCTTGGTTATAATAAATTAGAGGCACCTATGTAGTTAAAACATGCAACAGTTGTGTATTTCCGTTAAACCGTAAGTGAGCTATACCAACTAGAAACAAATCTAAGTGAATTTTTAACAACTGAAGTCAAGTTGTTAAAAAAAAACTATTTGGTAATTGGAGTGGAAGGGGACAGAAACACAATGAAAACTCAAAGACTCAAACCATGAACACAAATATCGTAAGGAACTTTTTACATGTGTTTTGAAGAAATATTTAAACTAAGAATGGTTTATGGCTTTTTAAAAAAATGAAAGACATAGAGGTATGCTGTTTGAAGACTTTCTGAATCATCCAAATAGTTTCTACGGAGGACTATTCAAGGTTCATGCAAAATCTGATGCAGATTCGTTGGTCTACTCTTAATCATTTTTAATGCAATGGTCACACAGTACACATGCTCACTCAACAGTGTCTACTGTCCCCAGTTCCTAGTACAGTGAAGTCGTCATTGTTCATGCATGAGCATTCCAGGCCACTCTCCTTGGCCGCCTGGACACATGGACGTTGTGCAAACTGTTCTTGCTGTATTAACAAAGGCTCAACTTTTTCCAGACAGACCACGTCTTCTTTATCGAGTCATCCATTGATGGAAACTTGGGTTGTTTCCATATCTTGGCTATTGTAAATAATGCTGCAAATGAACATAGGGGTACATACGTATAGTCGAAGGCTCTTTCTAGCAATACAGTAATCTCCCCTCACCGGTGTTTTCACCTTCTGAGGTTTCGGTTCGGTTAGCCTCGGTCAAACACAACCTGAAAACATCAAATGGAAAACTGCAGAAATAAACAATCCGTACATTTTCAATTGCCTGCCAGTCTGAGTAGCTTGATGATTTCCATGTCACTGCTCCATCCCACCTGTTAGTCACTTAGTGAGTTGTCCCTTTATCAGCATTGCCACGCTGTGTACACTCCCAGTCTGTCCGTTATTTTAGCATCCATCCAAATTATCAGATAGACGCTTGCAGTATCACAGTACTTGTGTTCAAGCAATCCTTTTACTTAATATCGACCTCAAAGTGCAAGAGCAGTGATGGTGTCGATTCACATATGCCAAAGGGAAGCTGTTAAGTGCCTCCACTAAGTGGAAGATGAAAGTTCTGAACTCGATAAGGCAAGAAAATGTCCAAATGCTGAGTAAAAAACAAATCCATCCATGCAATTGTGAGAAAGGAAAAAAATATCATGCTAGGTTTGCTGTCCCACCTCATCAAAAGTTATGGCCATGGTGCGTGGTAAGTGCTTAGTGAAGATGGAAAAAGCATTTATTTGTGGGTGGAGGGTATGAACAGAAGAGGTATGCTGATTGACAGCAACGTGCTGGACCGGAAATCATGGAGCCTATACAAAGACTTCATTCAACAAGCAATCCCTGAAACAAGTGACCACATTCACATGTTTTATCACAGTGTACTGTTGTAATTGTTCTATTTTATCACTAGATACTGTTTTTAATCTTACTGTGCCTAATTTATAACTTAAAATGTATCATAAGTATCTCTGCATAGGAATAAACAGATTAGATAGGGTTCAGCACTATCATGATTTCAGACATCCACTGGGGGTCTGGGTAACCCTCTCTGATAAGGGGGGACTACTGTACAACTGCAGTAATGAAAGGACTTGGGTATTAGTCATCAACCTTAAACATGAGGTAACAAGGTCTTTAGCTAGCCCAAATGAGTTTACGAGGGAATGGCAGAGGAATTTCGATCTGGGAGAAGTAAATTAGAGCAAAGCACAGGCAAGCCGGAGGAGACGAGGGGATTCCAGCCAGCTTTTACTAGGTTTAGGAGGAAATTGGGAAGGGCTGTGGTAGTTCTTTATTGGTTACAAGTGGTGGGCAGCTTGTTGCCAGGTCAGAAGGAACTTTCTTCACAGGGGGCTCTGCAGCTGCAGCGAGGGGTGTGCTCACGCCGCTGCTCCCTACACGCCTTCCCAGCCCCGTCTTGACCTAGGTTTCCTCTGTTTGTTTGCACATGGTGCACAGACAGACAGATCAATGACAAAAATGGAGCCCACCAATGGTTTTAAATACACTTAGAACTTTAACCTGTGATTAAGGTTGCATTTTAAGCCAGTGAAGAAAAAAAAGCTGTATTTTAAAAACTGCTGTTGGGACAACTGGCTGGCCTTTTGGAAAGAATTGATTCTTCCATTAAAACAAAAAAGCCCAACTCTTTCATTTGACAAAATTCTGGATGAGCAAAGATTTAAACATTCTAGAAAGAAACTTTGAAATGCTAAAAGAAAATATGGTAAGTTAAATATATCAGCGTGGGGCTCTGACTGGTGTGGCTCAGTTGTCCAGGTGTCGTCTTACACAGGGAAAGGTCGCCACACCTATCAGAGTCAGGGCACAGGCCTGGGTTGCAGGTTTCGTCCCAGCCCAGGCACCACGAGAGGTAACCGCTCGATGTTTCTCTCTCTCTCATCCTCTCTCCCTTCTCCTCTCTCTAAAAACAAATAAATTTTTAAAAATAAACCAAAAAATAGGAGGTCTGTCTGAAAAAAGCCCAGCCGTTGTTAATATAATGAGAACAGTTTGCATGACATCCATATAACCTGGCAGCCAAGGAGAGTGGACTAGAATGCTCATGTGTGAATAATGCGGACTTCACTGTACTAGTCAGCGGGGGTGGTAGATGCCATTGAGTGGAATGTGTACTGTGTGGCCATCCACTCAAAATGACTGAGTGAATGAGCAACGAATCTGCATCAGATTTTATGTTAAGCTTCAACAGTCTTCCACGGATACTATTCGGACGACTCAGAAGGCCACAGCTACGGGCAACTGGTGGTTGATTGGCAGCTTCATCACAACAACATGCCCACTCATGCATCACACTTGGTGAAGAGCTTTTTGGCCAAACATCAGATCACTCAGGTGACTCAAGCCCCCTCATAGCCCTGTGATTTCTGGCTTTCCCCCTGACTGAGAGAACTGTGTGGGATCCCAAGGTGCCTACTTTGTAGGGGACTGAGGTGTCATTGTCCTATGTGCAATGTTTCCTGTATCATGTATCCTCTTCAATAAATATCTCTACTTTTCACATTACATAGCTGGATACCTTCTGGACAGACCTTGTATAGCATCCTAGGGGTAGACACGGTATAGCTACAAAGACTTTGGAAATATGATACCTACAACAGTACATATTTAAATTCCAGCTCATTAAATAAATGCTTATTTTTAGTGATTTAAAGTCTAACAATAGTGAAACCACTGTTAGAATCCATTCACATAGGAAGGCACATGTGGATATTTTAATGTATTTCTTCACTATGTAAGAAGCAGTTTCTCCTAACTCCAATTACTCTATGAAAGTTATCCACCGCTTTCTTTATAGATGAGGAAACAAGGTAAAAGGTTAAAATGATTCAAGGTGATTCAGAAAGTGGATCCAAGACCAGTTTTCTGCCTAAATCTCATACTCTTTGTAGTACTACATTCTTATACTTATTTCAGTAATGTGAAACAGACAATCTGAGATATCTCTGGTGAAGATATTTTATTTTTCATAAAAATATAATTGTACAATGCTCTTCAGAGAAAGAAAAAACCTTTCAATGCCCCCAAATACCATGTGGTTTAACAGTAATTTTCCACTCCCTTAAAACTAAATATATTAATTGATAATAAGCAACTGATTTCTTGGGAAAGGTAGCGTTTATATTTCCCTTTATTTTAACTAAAGGCAAGTCCAATTAGGCCTATACTTTTGTAATAAGCCAAATTAAATCTATTATAATTCAAAAATAATAAAAGAAAATGCTACATGGTAAAGCTGATAAATACTGCCAATTAGCTGGTAAACGGTGATATGAATTTGCTGCAATAAGATAGATTCAGACTGGAATACAACAGAAAGATTTTAGATAAAATAGAAAAAAATTTAAGAACTTCAACCATATCCTAAAACTTGACCTGGTCAAACTTATTCCGTATCATGTTCAGTTGCTCTAATATATGGCAGGTCTGTGCTACATTAATGACGGATTATGACTGGGCTAAATACACAGAGTTTCCCCTTGCCTTCCTCTCTTTAGGTTAAGAAGAAAACATTACTGTCACTCAGAGAGCAAGGAGAGCAGCACTGACCCAGGGAGACTGAGCTCACTGACTCTCACCCTCGGCCTGCCAGGACAGGTAAGTGAGAGATGCTGGGATTTCAGTACGCTGCTCCTGAACTGAAATGGGGAAAGAAACTGGCTGTTTTCATCAGTGACATTTATGGACATGCTTCAAGTGGCCAAAGCGTGCAGTGAGCACAACACTCAAAGCAATCACATTCCTTTTTAAAACCGAGGCGCTTTCTCTTGGTTTCGATCTACTGCAAAAACCAAATAGATAGGTTTTGAGCAGAGAACAAAGTCACTGCTCTTGTAAAGATGCTGGAGGTGGAGGATATAGCTCAGATAAATAACCCTGTAATTTAAAATTATAAAAAGAGAAGAAATACTTCAAGCACAATGGAGACATTACATTGAAGAGCCACATTCATTTTGGAATGTTTGCTTTGACAACAACTCTTCTGGGGAATTCAAAAGGTACTGAACATAGTAACATACAATACATCTTGGGCTGTTTTGCAAAATAAAAAATATACATTTGAGTAGACCAGAAGGCAAAACAGACCCATTACAATCTGAATGCTACATTTAAAAAGCTGAAATTCTAAAGGCCTAAATATTAACAATCCTTTATCTGTATTTGTTATCCTAAAAAGACATTAAATACTCTTATTCCCCCATCCACCAAAACACAGAGAGACCCAACAGTCTGGGCTAGTGGTACATCAGTAGTCATGCAGGACTGGACTAGAGATCCGCGTTTGCAACCTAAGCACGGGAGGCACTTCATTCAAATGCACAGCCTAAGAGAAAGGCTTGGGGAAGTACCTTGTAATCTGAAACTACGAGGCCCATCTCATGTTGCACCTCACGGACAATGTATCCTATGATGCCTCCTCAAACGCTACCATTTCATAGCAGAACATACTTTGTTTGGAAGTCGAATATTTGCTTCATGAGAGCCAAGGACCACTATAATTTAGCAGCAATAGGGAACATATCTCCTGATTTAACTATGGGAAAGAAAAGAGGGGGGTCTCAAAGGGGAAATCAAAAGGCTCCTGGGGTCTATTTTAGTGTTTCATACTATGAGCTGGATTCCTCAACCATCATGCCATCGGGAGGCCAGGAAGACAGTAAATGCAGCTGCAGCGAGAACTGGAAAAGACTACTCTGCCCTCTGCACCTCCCCGCTGTGGTGCTGTGCATAACTGTAGCTCCAGTGTTTCACTCCAGAGTGGAGGCATCGCCGGGGATGAACCAGACACACACCTACAGTGTGTTTCTTTCTGGCTCAGAACACATTCATAAGGAAACGTGGGTTAGGGAAGAAACTAAGTGTTCTGGTTACAGCTATAGCCATTAGATCTACCAGCAATTTGTTCATTTTAATCCAGGTCTCCTGAGGCAGAAACTCAATCTCAGCAGCTAAAGTTACTCTATTTTCTTCAGAAAAATTTTCCTAGTTGACTGCCCAAGGAAATGTGTGTGAAAACTCAATCCTGTCCTCCCCACATACACATATAGACATAGGATAGAAACACACAGACATACACACTTTAGGTTGTCAAGATGATGTACACTGCTGAAATGCCTAAATGATTATTTCTTGCTTAAAAATAAAATTTGACTGATAATTCTCCAAACATGAACTGGGCTGTAGCCAATTTTTATAAAGTACAGTTTGAGAGGACAGCAATAAAAATTCCAAATAGAGGCTGTCTTGAGGGCTTTCATGATAGATACTGTTAACATGTACATTATTTAAACAGGCATGTCATTATGGATTATAAAAATAGAAATGTATCTATTTGTTAATATATATTCACAGCTTATGCTGGAATGGCTCACAGGAGAAATCATGGTTCATGTAGAAAACAGACATTACTCAAGTAAATATAAAGAAAGAAGATTAGGTCCATAAAGGCCAAGAACTTAGTCAGTAATCAGCCCATTTGGTTTCTCTTTGTAGGGCAATCAAACACATGACAGGACATGACACCTAAACACACATACACATACAATTACATGGAAAGAATATAAATTAACCAATAAAGCAAGGTGGAGTTAAGGTGCAAAAATACAATCTTTACCCATTTTTCTCTAAGCCTGTGTTTTCAAGCATTGCAACATATTAAATGCCATGGGTGGCGATACCAACCAGGACAGGTCTTGAATGTTTGTAAATTTTCTAAGTGTTAAAAGTTAAAGCAAAATCCTTTGAGATCTATGATCATACATTTGGTAGAAATTGCAGATTTACAGAGATGACTATGGAGCAGTAGGTAGTAAATGGAACCAAGTAGTATAATCTTGTCCATTCATCCTTCATAGGAATCAGGATATTGACTTCAATTGCTGACTTATCATTTTATATGATCTTCACCCTAAAAAATAAATCAAAGTTACCAATGTAAGAATGTTTTTAAGATCAATGAAATCTAGTTACTGTGTTTTCAAATGCAGCTGACTGGTCCGGGTAAATCCCTCCCATTGATCTACCAACAGCAACCAACACTCAAAAATGAGAGGAGGGTGTACTCAGCCTACATTAAGGGCACAACCCAAGTACCCAGCTTCGGTGTTAGGGGAGACTATGCCACTGGACCCTACAAGATACCTACTACATTAGGCCACACTACCAATACAGGGAGTTATAGCAGCTCTACCTAATACACAGAAACAAACACAGGGAGGCTGCCAAAATGAAGAGACAAAGAAACATGGCTCAAATGAAAGAACAGAGCAAAACTCCAGAGAAAGAACTAAACAAAATGGAGATAAGCAATCTATCAGATGCAGAGTTCAAAACACTGGTTATAAGAATGCTCAAGGGAATTAGTGAGGACCTCAACAGGATAAAACAGATCCAGGGATACACTAATTGAAACAAAAAACAATTTATAGGGAAACAACAGCAGAGTGAATGAAGCCAAGAATCAAACCAATGACTTGGAACATAATAAAGCGAAAAATAACCAATCAGAACAACAAGACAAATGAATCCAAAAAAGTGAGGATAGTGTAAGCAGCCTCTGGAACAACTTCAAGTGTTCCAACATTCACATCATAGGGGTACCAAAAGGAAGAGAGAAAGATCAAGACACTGGAAATCTGTTTGAAAAAAAAAAAAAACAGTGAAAGAAAACTTCCTTAATTTGGTGAAGGAAATATACATACAAGTCCAGGAAGCAGAGAAAGTCCCAAACAAGATGGATGCAAAGAGGTCCACTCTAAGACACACCATAATTAAAATGCCAGAGGTTAAAGATGAAGAGAGAATCTTAAAAGCAGAAAGAGAAAAGTAGTTATCTACAGGGGAGCTCCCATAAGACTTTCAGCTGATTTCTCAAAAGAATCTTTGCGGGCTAGAAGGGATTGGCAAGAAATATTCAAAGCCATGAAAGCAGGGACCTACAGCCAAGACTGCTCTACCCAGCAAAGATATCGTTTAGAATCAAAGGACACATAAAAAGCTCCCCAGACAAGGAAAAAACAAAAGAAATTCATCATCACCAAACCATTACTATATGAAATGTTAGAGGGACTTATTTAAGAGAAAGAAGATCAAAACTATGAACAGTAAAATGGAAAAGAATACAAATCTATCAACAATTGAATCTGAAAAACAAACTAAGCAAACAAGAACAGAGAAAGAATCATGGATACGAAGAGCTTTTTTATGGTTGCCAGATGGGAGGGATGTATTTGGGAATGGGTGAAGAAGTGGAGGGATTAAGAAGTACAAATAGGTAGTTACAGGGACATAAAGTACAGTATAGGAAATGGAGTGGCCAAAACACTTATTTGTATGACACATGGACATGAGCAATGATGTGGGGATTGCCTGAGGAAGTGGGTTTGCTTGGTGGAACAGGGCAAAGGGGGAAAAGATCAGGATAACTGTAATAGCATAATCAATAAAATATAAATAAAAAATAAAGTTTGGTATCTACAGGAAGGCTATTTTAAAATACAGACTGAAAAAAAGACTGCGCTGATTTGCCTTTTTTCTCTAGTTCAATTTAGATTAAGCAAATGTTATCTCATCCTTTAATTTTATAATTTTTTTAAAAGATAAAAATTTATAACATTTCCTTATAACCATTTCAAGTGCTCCCAAATTAATCACAATGATGAAGAAATCAATGACATGACAACTTCATTCTACAATCTGTAGTCTCCTTAACAAATGGTGTTGGGACAACTGGATATTCACATGCAAAAGAATTTGGACTTCTACCTCATATCATATAGAAAAATCAACTCAAAATGGATCAGTGACCTGAATGTAAGAGTTAAAACTAAGATCTATTAGAAAAAAAATAAGGGTAAATAAATCTTCATGACCCTGTGTTTGGCAATGGGCTGTTCGATGTGACATGTAAGGCATGAATAACAACAACAAAAAATAGATAGCCCTGGCCAGGTGGCTCAGCCAGTTGGAGTGTCATCTCACACACTGAAGGGTTGAGGATTCAATTCTTGGTCAAGGCACATACCTAGGTTGCAGGTTTGATCCCTGGTCGGGGCACATGCAGGAGGCAACTGATCGATATTTCTGTCAATGTTTCTCTTTCACATCTATGTTTTCTCTGTCTCTCTCACTTACTTGCTCTCTAAAATCAATAATCATATTGATTTAATCCTCAGATGAGTATTAAAAGAGAAAGACAGGAAAATAGATAAACTGGACTTCCTTAAAATTAAAATCTCTTGTTCACCAAAGGATACTATCAAGAAACAGAGCCCTGGCTGGTGTGGCTCTGTGGATTGAGCATTGGCCTGCCGACTGAAAGAAACAGAAAGGGCAACCTACAGAATGGGAGAAATATCTGAAAGTCATATATTTGATAAAGGTCTAGAATCCTGATATATAAAGTACTCACACAACTCAACCACAAAATGAAAAATAACTCAGTTAAAACATGGGCAAGAGATTTAAGAGAGACATTTCTTCACAGAAGATATACACATGACAAACAAGCACATATATGAAAAGATGCTCAACATCATCAGTCATTAGGGAAATGCAAATGAAAACCATAACCAGCCCTGGCCAGATAGCTAAGTTCGTTAGAACATCATCCTGATAAAACAAAGGATGTTCACTCTCTAGTCAGGGCACATACAAGAATCAACCAATGAATGCATAAATAAGTGGAACAACAAATTGATGTTTCTCTTTCTCTCTCACTAAAGATCGATTAATTTTTTTTAAGTTTTTTTTTTTGGTGCTCCAGATAATGTGGCTCAGTGGATTGAGTACCTGCCTGGGAATCAAAGGGTCACCGGTTCAATTCCCAGTCAGGGTACATGTCTGGGTTGCAGGCCAGGTCCCCAGTGGGGGAGCGCAAGAAAGGCAACCACACACTGATGTTTCTCTCCCTTTCTTCCTCCCTCCCTTCTCCTCTGTACCTTTCCAATTTTTTTTTTTGTTTAAAAAAGCACGACCAGATACCATTTCGTCATCTACTAGGAAACCTACAGTCTTTAAAAACAGAAAATAAAAAGTGTTGACGAGATGTAGAGAAAAGGGAAGCTTCATATTTGCTGGTGGGAGTGTAAACTATTTCAGCCACTGTGGAAAACGGTTTGTGGTTTCCATAAAAGTTAAATATAGAATTACCAGATGACCCAGCAATTTCACTTCTAGGTATATACCCCAAAGAACTGAAACAGTTACTCTAACACACACTTGTACATGCATGTTCATAGCAGCACTGTTCACAACAGCCAATAGGCAGAAACAAAAATCCATCAATGGATGAATGGATAAACAAGTTGTGGTTCGATACACAATGGAATATTATGCAGCCACAAAATGGAATAAAGTACTAATACATGCTACAATGTAGATAAACCTTGAAAATATTATGCTAAGTGAAAGAAACCAGACACAAAAAGTCACACACTGTATGACCCATTCATGTGGAATACCCACGTTAGGAAAGCCATAGAGACACAAAGCAGATTCATAGGGCTGGAGGGAGGGGATAATAGCGAATGACTGCTTAATGAGTTTGGGGTTTTCTTTTGAGATAAAGGTGGTGACTTACAACATTTTAAATATAGGAAATGTCTCTGAATTGTTACTTTAAAATGGTTAATTTTATGTTATGTAGATTTCACCTTAATAAGAAAATTCTTCACAGTGATAGGCTATACAAGATGGATACAAGAGATTGTATACAATCTCTATACAAGACAGAGCCTGGGCTAGGTGAGGACCTTGCACAGCTTACCTCCCCTTCTGCTATTTCTTTGTCTATTAAAAAAAAGTGTAATTCCTGAACACAATTATTGGAGGAAATACTTAAATATTTAAGTGAAAATACTTTGTAAATTAGAAATAAAAATGCAAATAAAAGGTATTATTATTAATAATAACTAGACTGGTACACTTCCATTTATGGACTTGGACAACTTAATTAACAAATCTTCCATAAATTTATCAATTGCTCTTCACAGACCTCATATACAATGCATTTCAATATTTAGAATCTAACCATTTCACTTAGTATACTACAAACAGCATTGCCATTTTATTTATTGAAAGATATGCAGAGGGAGAAAAAGTCGCCCAGAAGAAAGTGGTGAGTAGCAACCCTACTTTAAGACACTCCTGTCTTGAACTGTGCACGCACTGTACTCACAGGAATTGCTGTTAGCGTCTGTTCTCCCAGCTTTCGTGTGCCTGTTTAAGTTCTGCTGAGATTTGCTCTGCTCTTCTCCAGTGAGTAGGGCCTTTATTTCAGAAGGGATTTTTCCTTGGTCCATTGCCATACACCACTGCTTGTACTGAAATATTTAAAATATATTTAAGTAATATTTTACTAGGCTGAGTTCAGAAACCACTGGCAGAAATGCTAGATATAAGAACTCCCATGCCCAGAGGTCAAATTGGCAGCTGGAAATCCCACCCTCCATTGTCTTCCCTATTGCTGACCCGGGACGGGGATGAGGCCTGCCTATTCCACAGGAGGGTGAAAACTGCTAGTCAATCTGATGCACTGCAGTATCGCTCAGATTAAAAAGGTCCCTCTGGTCGTAGGAATGTCTTTCCGTAGTGTGTCACTAACTAGAATTCATCTCTTTTGGCTAATGCTCACATTATTATTTCTATTCCTAAAATAAATATTTTTATAATTTCTTTTTCTCTTTCATTCATTCATTAAATATCTACTTTCTACCTGAGTGTGTACTATGGACTCTGGGGGTATACAAAGATTAATCAGTTGAAAGATTATGTCCTCAACTGCAGAAGGTGGAAATAATTTATATTGGGTTGGCCAAAAAGTTTGCTTGTTTTTTTTCCCATAAGATGGCTCTAGTAGTGCTTAGTTATCTTTAACTTCATTTAAAACAATTTTGTTAGATTGTATTGTAACAGATGTCGTATCAGTGTGCATTTAAAAAAAACTTATCAAAATTGGTGAATTTTTGTGTAGCCATTTAATATTGAAGATGGAAGATAACACACATTATTGGCATATTATGCGTTATTATTTCAAGAAAGATAAAAATGCTACTGACAGGCAAAAAAGCATTCGTACAGTGTTTATGGAGAAGCTGCTGTGACTGACTGAACACGTCAAAAGTGGTTTGTGAAGTTTCGTGCTGGAGAGTCCTCACTTGATGCTCCACGGTCAGGCAGACCAGGTGAAGCTGACAGGGATCAAACTGAGAACAATCAGTGCTATACCACGCGGGAAATAGCTTACATACGCAAACTATCCAAATCAATAAAGTTTTTGGTGAAAATGAAAAATCTGCCTTTCGGTTTACAGAAAAAGCTAAACAGACTTTTTTGCCAACCCAATTACATAAGTAAAATTTAATATACTAAAAAAAAATCTACTGAATAGTGTATTTCTGAACTCTCTTTATGCCCCAACCTTATTTTCTTACCTTCTAAAAAGCGGTGGTAGCCTGTTCTAGCTTTGTCATGATCATAGTATTATCTCTCTCTTCTCCAACCTGTCACCTCTTCCCCAAGCTCACAGTAATGGGACTTTAATTCTCTTTTACCTGTTCTGTTTTACATTTCTACAATCACTACCCAAAATCTGAATGAAGAGCCCTGGCTGGTGTGGCTCAGTGGATTGAGCACAGGCCTTTGAAACAAAGGGTTGCTGGTTCGATTCCCAGTCAGGGCACATGCCTGGGTTGTGTACTAGGTCCCCAGTAGGGAGCATATGAGAAGTAACCCCACACTGACACTTCTCTCCCTCTCTTTCTCCTTCCCTTCCCCTCTCTCTAAAAGTAAATAAATAAAATCTTAAAAAAAACCCAAATCTGAATGAATAAATGAAAGCATGAAAGCATGAAATAAATAAATGTTTAAACACAAACGATACCATAATACTCATATTGTTATATTGGTATTTCCACTTAGCAATATATTATGTTTTCCTACATCAATAAATATATAGGTGCTCTGTGATTTTTACTGGGTGCAAAGTGGTCCAATTTGGGTTATTTTCCATTTTTCTATGATAAACAACCCCTCAGTGAAATAGTCATGTACATTCCACTCCCACCAGCAGTCTGTGAAAAGGCCTATTTGCCCATATACTGGCTGACCAATTGGCCGATGAATATTCTTTCCCATGTTTGTCAACTGGATAGGTGAAAACTGGTTCCTCCACGTTTTAACGTACGTCTCTTGGACTGGGAAGCGGAGGTTGATTTTTTCATGCATTTATTGATAGACTTTCTTACCATTTCCAGTTCCTCTCTGAGGGCACATATGGCTCTTTCCCGACTGGACACCAATTCTTCCAAGTACTGATACCTCAGTTTCTTCCTGGCCCGGCATTCTCTTGCACTCTGCCGGCTCCTCTCGAGTTTTGCCTTCAAGTCAATTTTGGCGGGCTTTCGGCCACGTTTGCCGGGCTTCTTCACTTTACCTCCAACCACCTTCAGCAAGAGAGAGAAGACAAACTTTATTTTTCTCTTAGTTCCGTGTCTACAAAGGTGACTGTGGCTGCTTATTAGCAAGGAACACATTTACAAATAATAAATTAATAAGGCCTGTGGTACTCGAAACGCACAATCCCATCAAATGCCTCATGAGGCTTTGCTTCATAACTTTTTCTGGTACTTCTGATACCATGATTGTGAGAGAAGAAATAATGTAAGCTTTCATTATTTTTTCAATAATAAAAGTTAAATAGTTTAACAGTAAACTTTATAAACCATATGTAGCTGGATAACAAAAAACTAAATGATTACCAAATTTTTATTGACTGTGAAAATAATAAGTTAAAAAAATCAATATTCAAAATTGTAAGTTCAGTATGATCTCAACATTATAAAACAACACAAAGAAGAAAGGATGTTAACAGAAGTTCAATGAGGATTTCTCTGATAGATGTGACTATATGTATCTTCTTTCCACCTGTATTTATGATTTTTAAATTTTTATAACTAGAAAAATATAAAGTTTATATGTAAAATTATGTATACATAAAAACAAATATGTATCCTAAGCAATATGGCTATAAATTCCCTCTTCAAGTTTGTTGAGCTCAAAGAAACACATAAGAAGTCCCTGAAATTTTCAGGATAACTCTCTCCGGCCTTTAGAAGCCTATAATTATAACCCTAGACTGTCTCAGGAGATTCCCACCTGTTATTCATTTACCTGCACAGGCACAATGTTTTGGTGACTGGCAAAGTAATTTAATCTTCTTCACTGTTTAGCTTTGGAACCTCCCCAAGTTCTTATACAATATATAACTATAACATACAGCTGATGAATTTTTTTACATACATGAAACAGAACTTACATATCAAATAAGTTTTCTTCAAAGCAGTCACTGTTAAGGTGATACATTTATTTCAGTGAACAAGCACTTTTGGAAAGTGATTCAGGAGCCAATTTCTTACAAGCCGCAATACAATATGCCTCTAGAGCTACATTATTTTAGAGCAATACATATTTCTTTAAATTTCCAAACAACTGGAATATTCACTTGGTTTATCTGATGAGCTTCTGAATGATGTTCAGTTCTTTCTGAAAACTACCCTCAGAGAATAAAAATGTCAGTGTACTGAAAGGAACATTGCTTTGGCTTTAAAGGATGTTCTAAAAGAGAAACACGGGCATATCATTCGAGTAAGTGCAGAAACCTTTCCAGGTAACAAACCTGGAAGGTTTGTTATTCACAAAGGATCAATATTCACTTGGCTAGAAAAACACTCATTTGTTGGTTTTGTTTGAAATCACTATTAATATCACGTACTGACAATGCCCAGTAGTACCCTGTAAAGATCAGATCGTTACTAAGTATAATGGCTGGGTGAAGAAAACCACACTTAAATGTGGATCAGCCACATTTACCAGACCCCGTACCATACCATGATGGCCAACCACCACACCTAGCACTTTACAGGATGGCTCTGAAATGAAATTGAATACTCCAAGGGAAAAAAAGTCTTTCCTTTCCACCACCATCTTAAAAGCTGGCTGATTCAGTACTACTCCTAAATTAGTTTCAACCTTTCAAAACTGGTCTTTTAAAGCTTTTCTATTCTGCATCATTCCAATATAATAATGTACATCTCAGGAAATTTTCCTTCCATATCAGTATTTGACTAGCTATTCCAGGATGGCTAATTAATCCAAATAGTACTATGGGCTAAATTTTAAATTATGTTTACATCACATCAATTGCATAATTTTAATGTTTTGAAATCACCCTACATTAAAACAAAGTATATTTGCTTTGCTACAGTTTTTAAAAAGCAAATATATTTACAGCATAAATTCATGTCTATAGTGAAATAAATGGTAATCACATCTATTCTTTACATAGTAAAATGAGTCATCACACAACACTATAATCCAACACCTCATAGGTTGCTGTTTTTAATTAATACAGAAGTGGCTGCTTTTGAAAAGCACAATCATAAAAATCAAACAAAAGTTATAATCCTTTGTTTAGTTTACATGACAGCAAAATATTTAAATTGGAACTGTTTTATTCCCTTTTCACTAGAAAGGCATATACATGAACCCAGGGCTCCTATACTTTATGCCATCTCCTGTAACATCACATGTAAAGCCATGTAGTCACCACGTCTCGAGCTTAACTTTTCCTCGGGAAGTTCTGGCTTTCGGTCCCAGCTAACATCTGATTAGCCCACCAGTTTTCAAGGGTCAAGCACATCACAGGGTTATCATGCACTTTAAGTAAAATAAGGTGTGACAGAACTTTGTAAAAAAAGAAAAGGATTATACAAATGTAGAACCATACTAGTTGCTAACTACAGTGGTTAACTGAACTTTATATATTCCGTAAGCCATAAAGATTGGGATGGATAGGGGAAGTTCATTCGAAACTAGGAACCAGAAACTAAAACTGAAACCAACCGCACAAATTCCTTAAATATCTCTGGGCCAAAACTCATTCTTCCCTATGTTTCATAAAATTTCACAAACTCAATGATAACTACATCATCCCCTTGCTCTTTCCTACCTCCTCTGAGAGAAAGCTTTTTTTCTCATCTGTATTTTTTATGATTTTTAAATGGTTTCTAATTTATGTTTTGAAAAAGGCTGGGAATTAAAATGAAACCACTGGATTCAGCCGAGAGAGTTCCCGATCATTCTAAATGGAACCCTTATAGAGAAAGACAATAACCTGCAAAGGCCTGAGTGCAGGGAGCACAGGCTTCCCGGTGAACAGGTTTCCCCTCTGCAGGAGGAGGCATGACTGCAGTTGCGTGCTCTCCAGGGGCTTATTAGAATGAGGAAGCCTCCAGTGTCCAGGTTAAATACTATCCTGAAGGCTCTTGGACCATTTTATTCTAGCTTTTTAGGTACAAAGAACAACAATTTAAATTCCGAGCTAAATCAAGTCGTGCAGGGGGAACAAAGCCCTGAGTTAGGCCCTCTACACATGGTCTCATATTATTTCACACCACCTTAGGGGAAGTGAACTCTATTTTCCTCATCTTTTTCAGGCAAATGGGGAAAATTAACTCCTTTATTCAACAATCATTTACTGAACACCCACTATGCCCCAAACATTGTAAAACTCTGGGAATGTTAATACAGGACAGGGTCCTTGCTTTCAATGTCTTTAGACTCGTGAAGCACAGCAGACATGAAAGAAACAATAACATTATAAAGGGCAGGATAACTGTACATACAGGAGTGCTGGTGGTGGACACACACACACACACACACACACACACACACATAGGCACAGTGATCGCTTTATTTTATAGATGACAACATTTCAGTCCCGAGATTCTCAGTGTCAGAGAAGGGTCTGGATCCAAGTCCCCTATCTACACTGTAGCAACTTGTCACCAGGTAACTCACTCTCACCAAGCATGACTATTCCCCTCCAGGTTCTTAGGTAACGCTCATTCACTTGAACCTACGTATAATTCCCTGAAAAGGCTCTACCTACAACTGACGGGTGTTTTACGTGCACTGCTATATCAATGCTACATAGCCACTCATTTAATACAACTCACTGCGGCATTAGGCACCTAATGGAAGGCAACGATGGGGTTAAGTAACAACCTTTTTCATTTTACGTTTCCTTAAAATTTTCATCCACTGTTAGACTCTCTACTCCCACCCACTGCAGTCATACCAATTTATTCCTTTATAGAATCTCTGGTTTAGGTCTTCCTCTCTAGTCCTACTACCTACATTAGTCAGGGTCCTACTCACAGATTATTACAGTAAGTTCCCAGTGGGTCTCCCTACCATATCCCCTTTTCTACCCCCACTTCCCTAGTGAGCCTATCTTGCAAAGAGGTGCCAAAGTGAACCTTTCCTTTCAGCTTCTTTTTACTGTATTTGTACTTCAGGTTATCTTTCTCCACTGTAAAAAAGTAATTCCTGGTCATTACAGAAAGGATAAACTTCAATGGCCCTTTGGCCGAGTCACTCTCCAGCTCAAGGAAAGAGCTTTGTGGCTCAGCACTGCTTCCTACGTCACCATAACCAGTGTATTAATAGTTTCCTGTGGCTGCTGCAACAATGACCACAAGGTGGCTTACAACAACAGACATCTAGGAGGACAGAAGCTGGCACACAGCTGCTCTCCCTCTGGAGGCCTCGGGGAGGTTCCATCCTTCATCTTTTCCAGGTTCTGGGGCTGTCAGCATTCCTTAATTTGTGGCCACATTAATCCAATCTCTGCCTCTGTGGTCACGCTGCCTACACATCTGTCTGTCGAATCTCCCTCTGCCTCACTCTCACGAGGACACTTGTCATTGGACTTAGGGCCCACTCAGATAATCCAGGATAAATTCTTCCTCTCAAAACCCTTCACTTAATCACAGCACTTTGCCATACAAAGCAATGGTCACAGGTTCCAGGGGTCAGGACATGGATACAGGTTCTTAGGGGCCACCAGTCTGCCCGCAACATCCAGGTTCCCTCCCACCCAGCCCCTCTTCTCTTCCATCACTCCCAACAGGCAGCCTCCGTATCGAGTTAGGTCACCCAGGGACCCCGTCCTGTGCAGTCCTGCCTGTTTCTCAGCATTTCTTTAAATGTTCCTTCACATGCCTCCACCACTCAAAGGGCAGATATTATGCCTCCTTCGGTTAGGGTCAGCTCTAGCCCTCTTTCTTTGAAGCCATGCTGTGCCCTTTATTGCTTTTTTCCAGATTTTTGTAACATACAGTTAATACCATACTGGGTCTATATGTCCTATTTTTTTTCCAGTGGCCTCACAGATTTAGTTTCTAGCTCTTCCAGTGGTGAGAGTTCCTCAGACACAGAAGCTATGTTTTCTGCTCCTTCTGCAACCCTCACTGTATCCAGCCCAGGACCAGGCATTTATTAAAAGACTGATCATGAGGACTTCCGCCAAGATGGAGGTGTAGGTGGAAGAACTGTACCTTCTCGCACAACTAAGTTTAAAAACAACAAAGTTTTAGCAACA